CGTACGTAGTAGTACGTACGTACGAGTAGTACGTAGTACGTACGACTAGTAGTACGTAGTACGTACGACGACGAGTACGAGTAGTAGAGACGTAGAGAGTAGAGAGAGAGAGAGAGAGAGAGAGAGAGAGAGAGAGAGAGAGAGAGAGATGATACTTCCAAATCCTGATGAAATTTCTCCCAGGTATGCTTTCATGGGTTCATCAAACAATTTGCTAATCTCTTCTATTTGTTTATCCAGCATGTAATAGAGGTTATTTTCAGGTTTCATGTCCTCTAAAAGAGTTCCACTTGAAGTTATGCCTGAAATGTTGGATGGATCCATAGACTTGAAAAAAGCAATTATGGAAGGATGCGTTTGGATGCTTTTCTCCTGCAATTTTCTGATGGCATTGGATGGGACTTTTACTGTTTCTTTATTCAGATTGCAATTGAGCCATCTGATATAAAAAATACATCTGCAGAAGATCCTTGGGGAGTGCTTCACCCTCCATACCTGAAATAAAGAGAAAGCAACACAAAATGAAACAAAAACCAATTTTACCTTGTCAATGCCCAATTGTCCTGCAAATGACAAAACCAGCTTATGAAGCAAATTAGTCACCAACTCTTTGAGCATTTGAATTTCGCTAAGCCAAAAATTGCAAAAAGAAATAAAATGAATGAACGAATCTCATATATTCCATTGCATATTTGAACTCAGTAACCAATCTGTAACAGGTCTTCAAATTACAAAACCACTGGATAGCAGAACCTAGAGGTCAAATTCAATGGCATGTGGAATTTGACTCAATTGTGTTAGCAGTAAGTGGAAGTAATCTCTTCCTTTGATCAATGAAAATCTCTTATCAATCCTAATAAGCCTTGAAATGAATAAAATACGGCAGGAGGAAATGACTGACACAGCAAGATTAAAACAAGAAATCAACTGTTGTGGTATTTGGGCTTTGCCTGATGCTGAAGATTTCAAAATGAAAGAAAGAGGAAATCACCTTTTCTACTTTAGCATCAAAGAACAGGTTCTTAGACTGCCCCTTGTGCAATGCCACTATATGCATGCCTTCATCAATATGTAAACAGTTTCCATTTTGCAGAGGTACAGAGAGCAGGCGTAGACGTGCAAGAGCTTCTTTCTCACTCAGTATGGAATCGGTTGGATGAAAGCTTTTGAATTCCAAAGTGAGATATGCTCCGGATATAGAACCGGATCTGCAATAGTCAAGGGATATGGTTTCCTCAAGTAAACCATATGAGAAATAATTAGGACCTTTTGTTCATCAGTTCTATTGCATATTCGTATTGTATGATTCAAGTACAACAGGACCTACTGAGGGTACATCAAACAATCAAAAGCTAGTTATTGCTTCTTGTAGGAGTTAGTTACTAACCCAAAACTACAATTTAAACCCCAAACACCATTGAGTCCATGATTCAGCACAAATATTGCAGATGTTTTTATATAACAAGCGATGACCTCCATATGGTTCCTTAGGACCCCAGAATGAGTCTTTGAGATACACGTCTTATTATTATGCATTGACAAATCAAATTTAAAACTAAAATCCAAAAAAGGAAATGAAAATTTTATACAACTCTGCTTTTTTTCCCTTTAATGACGATGGAGAACCGAAGGAATGCACTTGAAAAACTTGACGCAGCATGCTGGAGCTCATCCCAAATATCCAGTATCTCTTGGTTCCAGTGCACATACTCCGAAACATGCACATATTCCTAAGAAGCCATATATTGCTCCATGCCATTGTTTCAATGATGTGACTCCCAGTTTGCATGAGGGGGGTCAATGCATCAAAGTTCATCCCAGTGAACCCACACACACACACACACCCACCAACCCACACACAGACACACACCCACCAACCCACACACACACACACACGCACAAACGCACGCACGCACACATTCATGTACATACACAGGCACACACGCACGCACACACACACACAATATGGAGAATCAAATATGAAGAATTAAGGAGATAGGTTATAAAATAAAAACAGAAATGAGAACTGGTTTGAGTCCATGGTACCAGTAATACTAACAATAACAAGAAATCAATGCCAGGAAGACAATCATGGAGAGCCTGTGAGAAATAGAACTTCCATAGAGAGATGGGACAACTCACCATTCTCAGTTTACTGCTAAAATATTTGTCACCAGTGGAATTATTAAAGCAACAATAATTGTTGAGAAGTGTTAACAAGGGTCAACATATGGCAGCTAGATTCATCCATTTGGGCATCATACTCATGTTGGACACATGTCTATCCTGGTGCAGGCACATATTCTTTTAGATTCTTGGATTTGCATATAGTGCTAATTTAATTATCTGTGTTGAGGGCAGCAGATACCGATGAGCATTTGCTTATACAATTGCAGATATTCTATGCTAGAGTAAGTGCAAGCAATCATATACAAATGCAAAAATAGATAAGAATATATTCAAATATTGCTCTATTTTCTATGGGGCCTGTTGTAAGTACTATATGTCAGATATTTGAAAGATGGAAAAAGGAAAGCATCCACTTTACTTCATAGTCACCGTTCAATCATGGATATTATAGAGTTAATGGCAACCCTGGCATATATGAGTTAATCTATGTTGTCATGTCTTGGCCTGAGACTTGTGGTTTTTACCAGGAAAGGTATATTGATCAATTCTATTAAGATATGTTTTGACTTGTAATAGTTCTTAAGAGAACATAACCCTAGTCAACTTTGTTAATTGTAACAAACAGAACCCAGGAAAATAATACTGTAACAAGTGACAGGGATGCACAGCCTCCACATTGTTGAATAAAGCATACCATGATAATAGAGATAAATTTGCCTCTAGAACCAAATGACATGTATTCGAAAGTAAGATCCTCATCTATCCAAAATTCCTCACATCTTAGGTTTGTCTTCTGTAGATCATGGGGCAAAAATCATAGTGGAAAGAAATTGTAATGGAAGGCCATATTATGCTCAGCTAACACCTAGGAAATGGCATTACCTAGGGTGCAATTCTAATTATCCATGGAGCCAGAACTTTTAAAAATATGAGATTTTCTGATGGAATGTTACGTCAATCTCAAATACGGTTACATAGCATGGCATTTACTAGAAGCCAATAGCAATAGGCACAAAGTACTGTGAAAAGAAATCCATTGAGCTATTGGGTTCGACTAAACAATCTTATTATTTCGTGAAGTAAAAACTTAAAAAACGATGATTCTATAAGTCAAGAATGAAGAAAAACACATTAGATATTGGGTGATACTAAACAATCTTATTATTTCGTGAAGTAGAAACTTCAAGAGCAATGCTTCGATAAGTCAAGAATGAAAAACACATTAGAAGTTTCAAATCATCAGAAAGGACAAGTTTGGGAATTGTCTTTCATATGACTTAAGCCAGGGAGGAGTAGAATTAAAAAAAAAACAATCAATCATCTGCTAATCGCAATAAATAATAAGTTTAAAAACAAGGGACGCATGACAGATGAAACAGATGCTTTTCTCAAGGATGGGAATAAACCTCCATGACTTTCTACATATGACGTTAATGCATTTGAGGGTACTGCACATTCTTAACTTCTGGAGGATAAACCACTCGTATCTTTAATGTTTTTGATTTATTTGAATGATACCTTTAAACCGACAATGTGTAAACTTTTTATTTATCGAAATATGAAGAAATGGGAGACTAGGGTCTAATCATCCCTTGAATAAGAAGAAAGAACATAACAGGTTAAACTGATTATTGTTGTTTAATTGCACTATTGGACAATTGACAAAAGAGTGGTAGAGATTAACAATATCATGCCCTGGATTGCCTCTTGCTCTGATGCCATGACAACAATTATGGCATTGATTCGTTATCACATATAACTACATGACATGGATACTAACAATCTATGGCTAAAAAGTGAAAATACAACAACAATATAATGTACAACAAAATTGCAGTATATACACAAAAATGAACGAACTAGACTTTGATTAACATTATTAGTAGCCCTGAATATCCTATTGCCTGGCAGTCATCCTACATTAATTACATACCACCTAAAATTTTACTAGATGGGAAAGTGCAAGTTAAAGGATTTGAAGGTCTTGTGCTAGATTAATGATTTGACGCTTATTGGTTTGATCTACGTTCATTGGAAAATTATAACCTTAGAAAAGGGTTGATACTATAAGCAAGAAGAAGATAGTGCTAAGTTATTTTATGTATGCCATAATAAGTTTTTGATTGGTTACATCAGATAAATTCAGTATGCAACAAGATTGCTAATTCATAATAATTGTTAAATATTTACATAAAATCAGGCAAGCAACCATCAATGCCTATAATACATAGATCAACTTTCATGTGGCTAAACCAACCTTCCCTTATTAGGAAAATCAAATTCATGGTAATGATACCTTCAGGTATTGACTGCCCATGAATGTTCTATTCTCCATTTTCTCTCTTAAATGTTTGAAAGTTCAAAACTGATAAACCAGAAGCCACAAGTAGTCTCATGATTTGCCAAAACAAGTGTAATGATGCTCCATAGGAAATCATCAATGTAGATTCTATCATTCAATCCCAACTTGTTCTGCAAATTCCAAAGGCGCTAGTCTTTCAAGTCTCATGAATTTACTGAAAATTGCATGGATAGACTACTTTCACAGGATCAAGTGTGAGTATTACTACTGTAATTGAGAACCAATTGTAGAACCACTCTGTTTCGCAAAGAATTGTATGAAGTAAATTCCATACAACCTACTAAAACACAAATTACCCTTGCAGGAACCGTCCATTTGTATTCTTAGGATCTTAGCCAATAAATCCAGAGATAAACCACTAATCCTCCACTAAGAATATGTAGAACCACTCTTTTAGAATAAAATCATGTAAATTAAACTTCATGCAATCTACTAAATCAGTATTTACACTTACACGACGATCCCATTGCTTTCTTTGCCAATAAACCCAGAGGTAAACCATTAATCCTCAGCTAAGTTCAGGCACAACCATTCTATGCAAATGTAGAACCAAAATAAGAAAATTATCCATCTGCATTTCACAAACATGATCATAATTTCCTCATGAAGAAAAGGTTGCATTTAGATGACTAGAAGACACAGGGCAATAAATTCAATAATCACTCCAGGAAAGGAACATCTAAGAGAAACCGCATCTGAAAATCACATATTCTTGGGTTTTGATTCTTAGTAAATCAAAGGTGAGAGAGAGAGATGTATTATGGGCAATTGCGAGATATTTGGTGACAAGGACAGGAACAGAGAGAGAACCTGAAGGAGACTCGACATGGATGCCATGAATTGTCTTCTTTGCTCTTGGCCTCAAATTCGAATCCATCGTATACAGTATCCATGACCATGGGTCGGTAAATTGCAGAGAGAAATGGAGCAAAACTTCCTTCTTAGCTCCATTGGCGGGAAACGTCTTTATACTTTATTGCAGTGTTTAAAAAATCGGACCCGTCCGGGTTCGACTCGGGAACCGGCACAGTTTCAGCATAAAATCAGAAATTGCCCGGTTTTAGAAAAGAACTACTAGTTCCCATCCGGTTCTACGCTTTTCACTCCTGATACGGGATGAGAACGTGTGCAACACATGCGAGGTTGCCCCAATATTTGTTCATAAATGTTTTGATTTATATTATATAGGTATTTATATACCAAGTTGAATACCCATCTTTCGACGTGAGATAATTCTCAAACATCATTAAATGAAATGGAAATATAAATATATTCTATTAATCAGCAAGTTACAATCACATGTGATGAAGTGGTATAATAGTTAACACCTTTGCTTCTTCATGTGACATCTCAAAGTTGAGTCCCCTTGTGAGCATCACATTTTTGTTTTGTATAATTTTTATTATATATATTGTATAAATATTTTTGTAAATAATATAAAAAGCAGAAAAAAATTAAAAATAAAAAATTTAATTTTTTGTATATAGTTTTTGTTGTATATATTGTATAAATATTTTTGTAAATAATATAAAAAATAAAAAAGTTAATTTTTTGTATAGCAGTTAATTTTTGTTGTATATAGTGGTATAAATATTTTTTTAAATAATATGAAAAGCATAAAAAGATAAAAAATAAATAGTTTATTCTATTTGAAATCTCTATCTTTCTACTAACAATCTCTTTAACGAAATTTATTATAGAAACCTAAAAAAATAAATTTTTGAAAAATTGAAGTGTTATTTCCAAAATTTGTACGTATTTTATTAATTTTTATATTGATAACCAAATATTTTATTTTATTTATTAATTTTTACATTATAAATCATGTAATGTACTAATGTACTATTTTTCTTACAGTTGTCAATAATACATTTTAAATTAGATAATATTATAAAATATTTTAATTTGTTATTATTTGTCTAATAAAATAATTATAACATGTAAACTAATAATTATAATTTCATTATATAATATTATAATTAGTTAGGTTTTAATAATTTTGGATTATAGTTAGTTAGACTGTAATAATTTAGAGTTTTTTAGCGGATTAGGGTTTTTTGTCAAAACGAGATTTTAATGGCCATTCTTTCATTGATTAGTCTACTTTTTATAATAGTCCATGTATAATTATATATTTTATCTATGATATTTCTATGATTTTTCTTTTATGTGATGTAAATTTAATGGTTACCATAAGTTTATACAGGAAAAAAGCATCTCAATATTCACAAATTGATGACAAAAATGAATGTTAATAATGTAGTACCCTCATTTCTTATTGGATTCCTAAAAAACGATATTTATAATTAATTTTAATAATTTTTTCCGATTTTTTGAAGCTTTAATTCGACCGATTCAGCAGATTCCCAATCCGGATCGCCGATTCGTCAATCCGGATCGGTTTTTTATGTGCCCGATCCGAGTCACCGATCCACTTTTTAAACCATTGCTTTAATGTGTCCGATCACCATACCATACCATATTCCGAACCGAAGCGGAGGCAGCCAAAAGTCTAGTCCGGAGTTAGGCTCGGGTGACACGCTACGTACGCTAATCCTTTCCCGACGTATAGTTACCGACGATAAATAATGGGGTTGTATAAAATGATATCATATACTTATGGGAAAAGCTTATATAGAGCCTAGGCTCTAAAGAATAGAATTAGAGACTACCTCCAAAATTCAATAGAAGAGGTTGTTTTTGGTTGTCAAATATCATCAAATTGATCATCTCGACATCAAGATACACATGGACATGAGAAAATAATGGATTTCAAGTTTTCGAAGTAGTGCATCATGTAACACATTTTTTGACCTTCAATTGTCAAGATTTTCAAGTTTTCATAGATCTGCTCGATTTATATTATTTTTGAAGTTTTAAATTTTGTAATTAAAGATGAAAATATATTTTAAAGCTATTACAAAAAAATTAATATTAAAACTATATTTCTCGATACTATATGAAGGTGGGCTCTAACTTGATTGTTTAGAGCCTCGACTTAATACAAAGTGCACCTTTTACTTATAGGTTTTGTTAAACAATATTACTTGGTGGTGTATATCTTTAAAAGTCATCAATATTTTTGGATACTTAGATATCATTATCCTATAGTGCAGTAACTTTTTATTTAGACATATTCTAAGTAATTAGTTAGCAATAAAGTAGAAATTCCTAATAGAAACAAAAAAATAAGCATTTATTAACAATAGTTGACAATAATATCCCTGACATTGTGTATGACATCCCTTGATGCATTAATTATTTTTTAACTACTAATAGAGTGTCAATATTTTCTTATATAAATATCCATTCTACCATTCTAAATGACAAAAAATGCTCATGCTTGAAAATTTTCGTATTATAATTCAAGGGTATTTAAGTGTCAAAAAATGTTGAGGACTTTAAGGAAAACACTATACATTGTACAAGGAAGTCACAATTGTTTATAACCATCGGATATGAAATTTAATAGTTTGAGGTTGTCACAAGTTCGAAAAAATTCTTTTGAACTTTATGTTTGGTCAATAGAATAAATGCAACCACCCAATTTCACATCCAAAGGTCAAGATTAATTGTGACCACTTTGCACAAAAAGTAAATGGTCTCATTGTATACTTTTCCATAAATAATTAGGATGTATGTGTGTTATCATTGTGCAACAAAAATAATTGGATGATGTTTACATTAGGGGAAAAGTTTATATAGAGCCGAGGCTATAGACAATCAAATTTGACCCTACCTCCAAAAGCTCACTAGAAGAGGTTGTTTTGATACCCAAATATCTTCAAATTGATCATCTTGACATCAAGATGCATAGGCATGAGAAAAAAATGGATTTCAAGTTTTGAAAATAGTATATTTTGTAACGCATTTTTAGACGGTCAATTTTCAAGATTTCCAAGTTTTCATAGATCTATTGATCTGCACTATTTTTGAAGCTTTGAACTTTATAAATAAATATATAAATATATTTTAAAGCTATCACAAAGATTTCCAGTAGTAAAACTACATTTCTCGATACTATTTGAAGGTAGGCCCTGATTTTGATTGTTTAGAGCCTAGGTTCTATACAAACCACACCCTTACATAAGAATAGCCTTCTTCCCATTCTCTAGAAACTCCCCTCTCACTTCCTCTCTATAAATTCAGGGTAGAAACAACCGGGTCCGATTCGGGGCGAGGTGACTTGGACCCAACCTGTAAAAACCTTGGACCCAGACCCAAGTTTGCAATGGTCGGCAAGTCAACCGACCCGATTGCGACCCTTTCTTTTTTTTTCGATGAAAAATATGGCACAAGGGTCGAATCCCTTGTAAATTTATTAGAAGGATCTTAATTAACATTGTAGGGTTCATTTAAAGATTTTTATTTTTTAGGTACATCAGAAAGGAAAATTTAAAAATAAAATGTATACAATGAGATCAATTACTTTTGATGTAGGGAGAGGAGGTGGCATTGCTTGTGCACAAATTTCAAAATAAAATTTTTCGTATGTTGTGACAAATTTTTTTTTATTGGATTTCACATCAGGCATCCAAAGTTATTGTGGCCTCCTTGTAAAAAAAAGAAAAGAAAGAAAGATAGTCTTATAATATACAATTCTTTTAAAAAATGTTCAAAGTATCTTTATTTAACGCCAAAAATACAGAACAAAAGGTGAGAAGTATATACACCAAAATTTGAGATTAATCAGATTTACAGAAAAATTCAAACTAAAATATGATACATGCTCTAAAAAAATTGAAGAAGAATATGAAATATGAAATATTGAGGATAATTTTTTAATTCCACAAATAATTTATAT